CACACCCTCCCTGAATGTGTTGCCTCATCGTCTCGCTCCTGTCGATCTGCGCGCTCGTGCATGCACACCCTCCCTCAACCGCAGCACTGTCCCCCCGTGTTTTTCGCTGGTCCACACCGCGGGCACACCTGTCCCTCCCACAGACCCTGCACGAGTGCAGGCGCCGCCACACACAAAATGATGGACGGACTGCGCCGGTTCACGCCTGTCCTTCCCCCTGCAAACCGGCTCGCCTCCTGGCACTGTAGTGTGGGCCTCCGCCTTGCCCCTTCGCCGTCCCGGGCACCGCCTGCGGACTTCCACGCCCGGTTTCTCCTGGTCCCGGGGGGAGCTTCACGAGAGGACCGCTCCTTCCTTTAAACCACTAGTAGCTTTGTCGGTTTGAAAAATCGAGGGGCTCCGATCTTTCAGGAGGCCGAAACGAAATGACGGCTGCCGATTAGATTTATCAATGGCAGCCGTCGTCGGGCCCGGCCTCCGAATTCTTCCGGGACTGGCTTTTCCCTCATTTCTGAAGCGGCAAAGGTACTAGTGGTTTAAGAAGAAATAGAACGACTGGCACCAAAATCACCTATCTGAAATCGAACAGATTCTCAAACTATTTGTATAATTTGTTTGGTTGTCCTATGTGGTACGGCACCACCTTTTTGACTGCTTTATGACTGCATTGTGACTGGCTTAGGACACGATAATGAGTCCATTGTTATGTCTGTGCGATGACCGTGTTACGACCGTGTGATGACTGTTGCAGTAGTACTTCACAACAACAACTTTGACTTTGGCCTGATGCTGTGACTGCACTACGATGAGCATTCACGATGAGTTTTGTATGATGAAGAAAGTAGAGAGGAGGGTCTTGATGGTGGTAGCCCACCTACATTCTTGACGGCTGTGTTACAACTTATAACTGGTTTATGACTGTTGCTGCATTGCAACTGCATGTGAGGGGTTTGTACCATGGATGGTTATGACTGTGTTAAGAATCTTAAGATAAGTGGGTGGGTCGGTATGTGACGACTTCGTTACGAGTGTGATGTTTTGCGAAAAGGAATGAGTGGATGTCATGATGAACTCAGGAATGAACCTGGGACAAAGTATGGCTATTTCCCTGACCGCGGGGTCAAAGAGTGTGGTTGCCATGTATGTGGTGGAGCGATCAGGGCAAATACAGAACAAAAAGACACGATGATGACCCCATAATATATCCGCGGGGAGATAGTTCTTGAGCTTCGGAGTAGGATTTCACGATTTTTTGAATTGACAAGTTTTTGGAAGATCTATTAGGGACCTTGAGTTTTTTTTTTTTTTAAATTTGGACCATCTCGATTTATGCATGTCATCCTAGCACAGGGGCCATGCTAGTCTTCTCTGTATCGTTCCAATTTAAATGGATGTCCCCGAGGACACTTTTTTTTGTTTTAGATAATTTTATTCAATTATTATTACTTGGGAGCATACTGGTGGCGCATTTGTGCGCTGCGCCATGCGGTGCGCGTGAGCCGTGCGCCATGCGCACAATGCAGTTTTGCGCGCATCGCGCATCTCCATGCACCATGCGCCATGCACGGGTTACACATGCGCATGCGCTGGTGCGCGCGCACGGGCGGGCCATGCCCGGGGGTGGTGCGCCAGACGCGCCGCCTTGATGTTTTCTAATTATTTTTTTTTATTATTACCCTGGTGTATTGCGTGATTCCCCCACCCATTTCAGATTTGAATCAGGAGGGAGAAAGGAGCAGGGAGAAAGGAGGAGGGAGAAATGAAGGGAGGAGGAGGGAAAGATGTCGTGAGAGAAAGTGAGTGAGGAGGAGGGAGAGATGGAGGAAGGAGGAGGGAGGAAGGAGAAGGGAGAAAGGAGGATGGAGGAAGAGGGAGTGCCGAGTGGACACGTGGAGGATGGGAGGGCTGGATTAGCCGCTCGGATCATTGAAAAAAAAAAAAAAAAAGGAGTGACGAAGGATGGAGGAAGGAGGAGGGAGAAAGGAGCAGGGAGAAAGGAGGAGGGAGAAATGAGGAGGGAGAAATGAAGGGAGGAGGAGGGAAAGATGTCGTGAGAGAAAGTGAGTGAGGAGGAGGGAGAGATGGAGGAAGGAGGGGGGAGCAAGGAGAATGGAGAAAGGAGGATGGAGGAAGAGGGAGTGCCGAGTGGACACGTGGAGGATGGGAGGGGTGATCAGCCGCTCGGATCATTAAAAAAAGAGAAAATAATAGAAAAGAAAAAGGAGTGACGAAGGAGAGTGACGAAGGAGGGAGAAATGAAGGGAGGAGGAGGGAAAGATGAAGAGAGACAGTGAGAGAGGAGGAGGGAGAGATGGAGGAAGAAGGAGGGAGGAAGGAGAATGGAGGAAGGAGAATGGAGAAAGGAGAATGGAGAAAGGAGAAGGGAGAAAGGAGAATGGAGGAAGGAGAAGGGAAAAAGGAGGATGGAGAAGGGGGGAAGTACCAGGTGGACACGTGTAGGATGGGAGGGGTAGATTTACCGCGCGGATAAAAAAAAAAAGAAAAAGAAAAACAAAAGAGTTGCGAAGGAGAAAGAAAGGAGGAGGGACAAACGAGGAAGAAAGGAGGGACAAACGAGGAAGAAAGGAGGAGGGAGAAATGGAGGGAGGAGGAGGGAAAGATGGAGTGAGAGAAAGTGAGAGGAGGAGGGAGACAAGGAGGAAGAAGAAGGGAGGAAGGAGAAGGGAGAAAGGAGGATGGAGAGGGAGGGAGTAGCGAGTGGACACTTGGGCGATGGGAGGGGTGGGTTAGCCGCGCGGATCATTAAGGAAAAAAAAACAAAAAAGAAGAGAGAGCCACGAACGGGGAGAGAGAGAGAGAGCCACGAACGGGGAGAGAGAGAGAGAGCCACGAACGGGGAGAGAGAGAGAGAGACACGAACGGGGAGAGAGAGAGAGAGACACGAACGGGGATCCACGAACGGGGAGCCACGAACGGAGAGAGAGAGAGAGAGAGAGAGAGAGAGAGAGAGAGAGAG